TAAAATTTATTTTTTAATAATTTAAAAATTATCTTTTAATAAAATTATTAAGAAATAAATAAATAACTTTTAACTTTATTGATGAAGTTTCTTCAACTTTTAGGATAGGATCTATTTTTATCAAATTCGATAAACAAGAAAAAGAAAGGAAAACTAGGGATGGTGATTTGGCCCGACCCGGTGGGGAACCCGGTTCATCCGATCCGGACGGGGACGGGGATTCCCCGCTAAAACGGGTACCGGGCCGGGGCCGGGGATCCCCGGTAGAGGCAAACCGGGGTTGGGGCCGGGGCCGGGTATTGTATCCCCCGACCCGCCCCGTACCCGGTAATATTGACATACAAATTATTTGGGCTACATACAGCATATTTTGGTTGGGCTACAACATATCTGCATATGTGGGCTTTAACTTAGGAGCAGATTTGCAAAATGCTTGCAAACCCACAAGGCTTTAACTTAGGGCTTTATTCACATGAATCACATAGACGTGAGACGACATTACGACAACCCTCCGGCCTCCTCCCTCAGTCCCTCCCTCGCCGTCCCTCGTGACCTCGCTCACTGCTCACAGACTGAATCTCACATCGACGATTCGACACTCACACAGTCACACGCCGACACAGCTCACTGCTCCCTCGTGACCTCGCTCTGTCGCTCACTGCTCCATCTCAGTCCCTCCCTCTCCGTCCCTCAGTCCCTCCCTCTCCGTCCCTCGTGACCTTGCCGTGCCGACTTATCGACGACGAGTAATCGACCCACAGGCCACATTAAAGGTAATGAATTTATACTCTCTGTAACTTTCTTTCCTAAATTGCTTTTTCTAATTTCAGAATTGATGTGTGTTCTTTGACCGGGTGTTGACCGGGGGTTGACCGGGGTTGACCGAGAGTTGACCGGGGACGGGGCCGGGGCCGGGGCCGGGGACTCTGTACACAAACCGGGGCCGGGGCCGGGGATTGCAAACCCCGCCCCATCCCCGCCCCGTTGCCATCCCTAAGGAAAACAGAGGGGCAAGGGAAAAAGATCTGGTTGAAACACTAAAAAGAAATTGATTTTTCGAAAGAAAATAAATAAGTAAAATTTATAAAATTAAAACATAAATGTATAATTTATTCTTCTTCAAAGGATTTTTTATTTTAATTTTTTTAATGTAAATTATCTATATTATATGATAAAATATTTGGTAAAAACTCTTAAAAACTATTTTTATGCATAAAGTATTGTTTATTGATGTATATTACTTAAAATTCAAGATTACAAGTAAATTGTGCATGAATACAACTTATTAAAGCTCTATGTTTGAATTCGTATAACTAACTGCAGATAAACATAATCAAATAGAGGATAAACATCTTATTTTAAAATATAAAAAATTTAAAATATAATTAGGATGATTAATGAGTTCTAACAGAATACTTAATTATTATCTTTATAAAAAATATATTATTAAACTTAAATTAAGTTATTTCGTTACGTTAAATTAAATTATAATAAAAAATTTGAATTAAAAAAAATACACAAACAAGAACTTTTAAATAGTTAATTTGATACTAGTATTGATATATTTTTTACAAATTTTATATGATATTTTCAAATTTATATTTTATTCAAAAATAGAAACATTATCTCTTTTCAAAACCACATAAAATCGTATTATATCGACATAGATAAAAAATAAAACGGAACATTAAAATAGAAATGTGTCTCGATGCATTGTACGAGTATCCTTCTAGTATTATTATAATATTCTTTAATTTATTGTTTTAATATATTTAAAAAAAAAGCTTTTTATTAAAAATAATAACTCAATTTTATGGATGAAATTGAATAAAATAATTATTTTTCTTTTCTAACATCAAGTTTTAGAGAATTTTTTTTATTTTCATTCTTATTGATTATCGCTTAATACCTTTAGCCAAACATCTCTTTAAAGTTTTCTTCATGATTTTCTATTTTAGAGAATAAGATATAAAAAAAACTGTTCAAGTATTTTAGAGAACAAAAACTTAGGGGATGTTTGGCAATTGCTGAATGGTTTGATGCAAAAGGATTAAGAGACTCTCATGATATAGTGCAAAATGAAATATAATTATTTACAACGAAATTAGAGCGCTGAATGGTTAAGAGATACTCAAACTACAAAATCATTCAGAGGGTTTTAGAACCATTAAAAGACATATTTTTTTCTGGCCAAACAAGATTCACCTCTTAACGATTCAAAAATTGCTTCTTAATGAAACTATTAAGAAGTAAACAAATAACCCCTTACTTTGAAGATACGTATCATATCTATCAATTAATTATGATTTATTTGTAAAATAAAAAAAAATTGTAAATGGAGCGGAGGTGCCTTTACTGGACATGGCACTTGTGGATGTGTTTTTTTTTAAATTTATTTTAACGAATTCAAATTTTATAATATATATATATATATATATGAATTTTTTTAATTAATATATTATATTATTTAATTTTTGTTACTATCTTGTTTGTATTAATAAACATATTACATCTTTTTTTGGTCATTTTATATTTTTCATCTAGCTTATCAGTTAGTTTTTATCAAATGAGATTTGTCCATCAACTGTCATCTAATTTATCAGTCATCAACGAACTTATCAATTAGTTTATCAAGCATAGCTCTAATATACGTGTTTTTGGATGTTCTTACAAGTTTTCTAAGACAGTGTTGGTCGTAAGCAACGTTTGACATTTTCATATCTAATATTTAATGTCTTCTTTTAGAGTTTCGATATGTATTTGGATGGCATACTTTTTGTGTATTTGAAAATATATAAAGAGATGATGTTCGACAACTACGGTTAAAAAGATTTCCGCTTGTAAAAACAAATCTTTCATCTCTTTTTTTTTCCTTCCCGAATTTGAGAAACAAAATTAATGTTAGCTTGTGTAAAAGGATTTGTAAAAATATATTGAAACACCCCATGATCACATTTGCATCTGAACATATATTTCCATATATCAAGAAATATAATTTATACATCTGGTCCCGATATCTACAAAAGCTACATTACAAAATAGCTACCAATTTTTTTCACAAAATCCATATACAAAACTTGTATACATAGTCAAGTATTCCAAAAACCGAAGATAACACATTATTTCATATTTTCATGCAAACAAATATAATTCTTCACAATTTTTCCTTCCTCTTTATCATCCGGTTGTGTCAGATCTATAATGCATCTTTTCAAAAACACCAAAATGAGGGTTAAACCTTGAGATCTAATGAGAAATCTCTTTGTTTGCTTTTACAGGATGAATAATCACCAAAACACATTTATAATTTGTGAGATTCAATATAAACCACAAATCTCAATTAGTGTGTGTGTGTATATATGTATCTATATATATATATATAGGGGCTCTATATATATATATATATATATATATATATTATTGATTAAAAGTTTAATATATTAAGATGTTCATTATTATATTAAACATAGTTTTTAGTTTTTTTTAGTGTATGATTGTAGTTGATATTTTTACTGTTCAATGGACCCATTTTTAGGCTATGTTTGGTAAATTAGCTGATAAACTAACTGGTAGCTGATAAATTAACTGATGAACATATTATATTTGACAAAAACTACCTTATAATAGAAAGGGCATCTTGAAAAAAATATTTAATTACAAATATTTCATAATATAATTCAAATAAATTTTTAATAATATACTTAAAACCAAATTTCTAATAATATAAGTAAAAAATTTTAATAAAATTTTCCAAACCAGACCAGACCGCTCAAACCGCAAAAAACGGTCCGGTTTGACTTGGTTCGGCCAGTTTGAGCGGTCCAACGGTTTTTTTGAACACCCCTAACGGGTGGGCGATTTGACAGTTAGACGGATTGAGTTTAATTGGGTTGTTAGCGGGTTGAGTTCGACGGGTTTCACGAATTGACAACTTTTTGTACACCCCTACTAGAAGTGCACAAAATGATGCGTGGATTTTATGCATTTTTGAAATTATTCATGATAACAAGTAACAACCTCAGACAACCATTTCTATTACCATGCAAGTTATTGTTGGAAATTTGTAGGTTGGAAGTTAACCTTCCATCCCACATTGGTAGATAATTTATTTCTAGAGAAGCTTATAAAGCTTTCTTTAGAATGGGCTTTGAACTTGTTAGTGGACTCATGGTGGGGGTCTTGAGTGGAAGGCCTAACACACACGCCCGTGCGTGGCCGAGGACGCGGGATTCGCGAAGGTGGCGCGAGGAGGCGCACTTCGCATCGGAGCCTCGTCCCGAGCTCCGAGTATCTTTTTAATAGAAATTTGTCAGAGGATAATTATCAGTTAAATTTGAGATAATTATTATTTTTAATTTGAAATAAATCGGATTTGAGATAATTATTATTTTTAATTTGAATTTATTCCGATTTTGACTTGGTTTTAGATAAAAATCGGTTGAGAAAATTTCTCCCTCTATCCCCGTTTTTTGGAGAGGTTCGGGGGCCACTCTCTTGGGCTCGATCTAGGGTTTCACCCAGTATAAATACTGGGTGAAGCCGTAGCAATAAACACACATGAAAAACTGCTTTTCTTCTGACGAAATTCTGCTCCCGTCTCCTTTTTCTCTCTACCGGTTTTGCTACAAAAAAACCTGCTCTATATTCTTTGTGATTGCTGTTCACAAACGAATAACCTATTTGATGCTTTGCGACTAGCAGAATCACAACAGATATAAAGTGGTCGTATAAAACCTTTAAGGACAGGTT